GGGGGGGATGAAGGGGATAAAGCACGGGATTGGGGGGTTACAAGGTGGGATGGTGGGAGGGGGTGGCAAAATGGAGGCTGTGGAGGATGGGCTGGGGGTCCTGGGGGGGTTCCGGGGGGTCCTGGGGGGGTCACCCTGTGGGATCTGCGTGGCCAGGGGGGATGAGATGGTGACGAAGTGCCGCTCGCGGCAGCCGTAGTGCACCGGCATCTGGCGGCCGCGGCCGGGGTCGCTGGCGTTGCCGTAGCACTGAGCCATGAAGAGATCCAGCGGGTAACCGCGGTACATCAGCACCCCTGCGGAGGGGGGGGAAGGGGAAAGGGGGAGGGGGGGTCGAAACCAAAACCGAAACGGGTTTCAATGGAGTTCCGTCCGAAAAGAAAAAGGATCGGCGCCGCCTCCGGGGCCCGCAGCCTCACCCGCCTCGCGGTACTGCCCGAACACCAGGTCCGTGTCATCCAGCGCCGCCGCGCTGCCCACGTGCGTCCCCTCCTCGCCGTAGTTGGTCATGTAGAAGGAAATGCGGCCCTGGGGGGGGGGGGGGGGGGTCGGGGGGGGGGGGCGCGACTCGGGGTCTCCCCCCACCCTTAAGCCCGCATCTCGCCCCCTACCTGCCGCTGGGACTCGTAGAGGATGCGGTCCATGGTGTTGAGGAGCGTCATGGTCTTGTAGAGCTTCAGCACCAGCTCCTTGGGCAGCTGCGGGGCACACGCGTGTCACACGCATGTCACACACGTGTCACACGCGTGTTTGGGGTGTCGCAGGTGGGGGCGTGGCGTGTTTGGGGTGTCACAGACCCGGCTGTTGGGTGCTTGGGGTGTCAGACCCACTGATGTGACACGGGTGAGGCGTCACAGGGACGGACGTAACGTGTTTGGGGTATCACAGACGTGGAGCTGCATGTTTGGGGTGTAACATACGTGTACGTGGCGTGTCTGGGGCAACACATGGCTGAGCAGCACACGTTTGGGATGTCACACCCAGAGCTGTGACACGTGTGGGCTCTCACATCCATGCACATACGTGTTGGTAGAGCCACGCACACAAACATGGCGTGTGTTAGCGTGTCCTACATGCGGATGTGGCGTGGTTGGGGCGTAACACACACAGATCTGGCACGTGTGGGGCATCACGTGTGGGCACAGCATGTTTGGGGGTCACGCTGCAGGATGCGGGGTGTGTGGGGTGTCGTACACACACACGTGGCGTGTTGGTGGTGTCACACTATGGGACATAGCGTGTTCACAGCGTCACACACACGGATGTGGCATGTTGGTGGTGTCACACACATGGACATTGCGTGTTCATGGTGTCACACACACGGACATGGCGTGTTGGTGTCACACACACGGACATGGCGTGTTGGTGTCACACACACAGACATGGCATTTTCATGGTGTCACACACACGGACATGGCGTGTTCATGGTGTCACACACACGGACATGGCGTGTTGGTGTCACACACACGGACATAGCGTGTTCATGGTGTCACACACACGGACATGGCGTGTTGGCAGTCACACTATGGGACACGGCGCGCTCACAGTGTCCCACACGTGCCTGTGACACATCAGGGGTGCCCCCCTCACCTGGGGGTCCTCGCTGGGGCTGACGATGTGGCCCTGGCGGTCCATGACGCGGTACACGGGGATCCCGGAGATGACGTTGGGTTGGATGAACTCCAGGCGGTCGGCGAATTCGGCCGAGGCTCCGGGGAACTGCGGCTTCTCCTCCAGGGATGGGAAATCCCGCTGTGGGGTCACCCCCTGTCAGCACCGCGTCCCAAAACCCACCGCCCCAAAAAGGGTCCCGGCATCGCCCCACAAACAGCCCTCTGTGTGGCCGATGGGTGGGGGGTTGGAGAGAGGGAGGTGGGGAGGGGACCGGGGGGCAGGGGGTGGGATGTAGGGATATGGGGACTTGGGGGTGTGATTAGGGATGGGATATAGGGACAGGCGTATGGGATGGAGGGACGTGGGGACGGAACACAGGGACACAGGGACGTGGGGATGGAACATGGGGACGTGAAGATGCGATGCAGGGATATGGGGAGACAGGCATGTGGGGATGAGATGCAGAGATACGGGGACACGGGGATGGGTTACAGGAACGCAGAGATGTGGGGATGGGATATGGGGACACGGGAACGGGATGTAGGGACGTAGAGATCCACAGACGTGGGGACACGGGAATGGGAAGTGGGGATGGGATGCGGGGACACAGCAGGGACATGGGGACACGATGCTGGGACACCGGGATGCAGGGACACAGCGACACCGCGGGGACAGCCACGGGACCCCGGCCCCCCCGCCCCGCCCCACTCACGGCGGTGCCGAGGCCTCGCCCCGCTCTCCTCGGAGCCGCCCTCAGGAGCCGCCCCCGAAGCGCCCTCAGCGCCAACGCCGCCATCTTGTGAGGGGCGAGGCGTCCGGGCGACGGAAGTTGCCTCACGGAGGGCGGAAGTTGCCTCAAGGCGGGAGGAAGTTCCTCTCAGAGTGGCCGGAAGCTGCCTCAGAACGAGCGGAAGTTCCTTCATCGCGGCCGGAAGCGGCCTCAGACGCGCACCGCCGCTATGGAGGTGGCGGAGGCGGCGGCGGGCTGCTCCCTGCGGCCTTTCTCCTGCGAGCAGGGGCTGCTGTCCCGGCCCGACGGCTCCGCCACGTTCGTGCAAGGTGCGTGGGGATCCCGGGGCTGCGGAGCGGGCGTGCGGGACCCTACCCGGGGCGTCCTCCCGGCCCTGCCCGGTCCGTGCTCCTCCCTCGGCCGACACCGGGGCCGGTTCCCTCCCCGTATCCCCAGCCCCGGAGGGAAGCCCTTCCCCCCCCCCCCCCCCAGGTGACACCTCTGTGCTGGCCGGGCTGTACGGCCCCGCGGAGGTGAAGGGCAGCAGGGAGAGCCCCGACGGTGCCACGGTGGAAGTGCTGCTGCGCCCCAAGGTCGGGCTGCCCGGTGGGTGCTGGCACTGCGGCTCCGTGTGCCATCGTGTCCCATCAATCCTGTCGTGTCACCCTGTACCTGACTGCAACTTCGTATTTCCACATCCCGTCACATTGCTGCACGTCTCTGCGTCCCCCCACGTCCTGTTGCATCCCACCGTGTGCCCCCCATGTCTCCCCGTTTCCCCCCCGCTCTGTTACCCCTCGTTGTGTCCCCGTGTCCCTTTATGTCCCACCTTTATGCCTCATCGTTTCCCACCACATCCCCGACCCACACCCACCCCCCCACGTTCCATCACGTCCCATTGCATCCAACACATCCCCACCACGTCCTCATGTCCCCCCATGTCCCTCTTCCCCGCCCATGTCCCTCTGTCCCCCCCACGTCCCTCTGTCCCCCAATGTCCCTCTGTCCTCCCGCAGGCGTGGCGGAGCACAGTCGGGAGCAGCTCCTGCGGCGGACATTTGAGGCCGTGCTGCTGGGATCCCTGCACCCCCGTACCTCCATCACTGTGGTGCTGCAGGTGCTGAGCGACGCCGGCTCCGTATCCTTGGGGTGATGGTTGTGGGGGGGGAGACCCTATGAGGTGACAGCGAGGGCTTTGGGGGCTCTGTGGGGCGGTACTTTGGGGGCTTTTTGGGATGAAGGTTTTTGGAGCTCTGTGGGGTGAAGGTTTGGGGGGAAGCCACACTGCTGTCGGTGTATTTTGGGGTTCCCCCCCACCTTGACCCCCCCCAGCTCCTCGCCTGCTGTCTGAATGCCGCCTGCATGGGGCTGTTGGACGCGGGGCTGCCGCTCTCCTCCCTCTTCTGCGGTGTCACCTGCGCCCTCGATCCCCATGGGGACATCATCCTCGACCCCACCGCCCGGCAGGAGCAGGTGAGACTCCCGCCCCCCACCAACCCCCCCCCCCGGGGCCTCCCTCACCTCCCTGAGCCCTCCGTTCCCCAAGAAAAACCTTCTGACTTCCACAAAGCTCCCCGAACCTCCTGCCAGCGTCCCACCCCCACAACTCCTCCGACTGCCCCAAATCATCCTGACCACCCTCGAGATCCCATGAGG